AACGTCCTTATCCATGACAAGGGGAGGGGGGGGGGGGGGGGGGGTTCAGGTAATGTGTATTGTGGATATTTCCTTTGTTCTGTCTGAGGCACGAGTGCTGTAATTGGCTTCAGGATGGTTTTAGGAGAGAAAAGCCTGGATCAATAGCCTCAGGCTGCGTTCTGTATTTCTTTTCATTTTACCATTCAATAAATGAGCAATTGGTTTTTTTTTCAAGCAGGAGCCACATGTTGCACTGATTGCAACCCCTGGAAACGTTCTTGGGATACTGATGAATATTTTTGACTAGAAGCAGCTACCACCGGTCAATTTATATGTAAAAATTGCAATTATTCTCTCCCTTTCCCCCCCAAATAATTACTGGCAACAGGACAGGCACCCCTCATAGTTGATTGGATGACAAATAGGATCAAGGTGGACTCACAGATCTTTAATTGGTTATTCTACTTTAAGGTATCTTTGTGGAGAGTGAGGCAGGAGCCATTAACACGAGTCATATCTCATTATAATCTGTAATAAGGAAACAATTTTATAAGGTCCTTCTCCATGACAACAGCACCAATTGGATGCAACGTATTAATCACTGAAAAGCTGACAATGTTCGTCAGCCAGCATGATAGCGTTAGTTCAACCGGTGTCTGCACATTTTGTACGACTAGATGTGAGGACACAAACTACTCATCGCACTGAGATAACGAAATCCAAACCTAGAGTTCGTGTTCTGCAGCCCAAACATTCAAATTGCGCTTCAGCATAATAGCGTGAATGGTTTTCCTCCATTTAACCTCTCCTTGAGGCGGCGTTGCATTATATCGGACGGAATTGTCAACTCGATACACTCAGTTCCCATCGACTCAAACTCAGAAGTTAAACTCATCAGCCTCGGGAGCAATCTTGGTTCAGGCGTCATCACGTGACCTAAACGTGGAGCGTCAGTCATGTGATAACATGTGGTTGTATACTGTGCTGTGGATGTCTTTGGAGAAAGATGCCAAAGACCGTCTTTAATACAACTAACAATATTTTTATTTGCCTACAAACAATGAATGTGACAGACCCTTTACTCCATGCCAAGAGGATTTATACCATCTGCATATAGTGCCTTATTTTGCACTGCGTGTCAGTCTTCCACTTATCTATTTTGGCCCCTTCTGGGCAGAGCTCAAGCCAAACAAGCTACACCCAACAAGCTAAGTGCACGTACATCTTTTTTTTATGCATCTCAAATATGCCTCAGAGGGCATCAGGGTTGGAAATTTGCGCTGGCCAGATGTGGGTTAAATTGATCAACCTAAAAGCCACTTGATGAATGTTATTCCAGTGTTTACTCTCCTTTTAGCTCCGTTCAACTCCTAAAGGGAAATATACTGATACCACTACATCCACCAGCTGGTTGCTGACTGTGTCTGTCTGCTGGCAGTTGTAAGAGAAGGTTGAGCAGAGTATGTGACTTTCCTTCAAAATGTGGGGAAAACAAACACTTGATAGTGGAGCATTTTCAGAGAACGCAGAAGGTACACATTTGGTTCTACGTGTCTTTTCCCAGAAAGCAAGAAAAAAAAGCAATTGAGTTGATGATGAGAGCACAGAGGGAGACGGAGATGAGAGAGAGGGGAGATAGGAAGAGAGGGATCAGTGCAGCTGTGTGCCTCTTTAGGATTCCTGCTCTCTACCTCCTCTAGCCGGGGCCAAACCGGCATCATTAGGTTTGGCAAATTACCCGAGCGGCCATTGTGGCGCGGCCATGGCACGTTAGTGTGTCTTTTTAACTGTGGCTAAACTCAGTCTATTCACTTGTAAAAGAGAGCGCCCATTGGCAGATAGTTGGCAGGGTGCACAGAGAGGCCATTCACCCCCGGTAGGAAGGAGCTGAGAACACTGCCTCGGAAATGGTCCTCTCTGAATATTTTGATGGAGAGACTTTTGGATGCCCTCGTCAGTGTCCGTTTGCTCCGACCGAACTGACTTCCCTGGTCATTCATATTACAGTTTTAAAGGTGAGGGCTACTGTGAAGTGTGAGCTGCTGCTGTGTCAGACAGAGAGAGTTTTGCTTTTTTAGAGATTTGCTTTCAGTAGCAGCTGTTGTTTTGTGAGCCCCCTTTATTTAAGGAGGAATTTGGAGCAGGTTCTTCGGTGTAGGGAGGTAAGAGGGGGGGGGGGGGGTTCACTGTTTCTTTTAATGATATTTGGATGAAGTCCAAGTACAAGAGAGTTGAGACAAGAGGCAGAGACACAAAGGTCAAACGCTGGACTCACTCATTTTATTTTTGATGCCACGGAGGAACAAATTGTGAGGCTTCCGAATGAGGAAATAATTACGTGTAATTAATTTCCCTGTCATACATCACCTCAGTGAAGAGGATTTTAATGACGCTCACTTAACATGTACACCCGGTGTCTCAGCATGCTCATTTCGTAGCCTGTGTAATCCCGCCGGAGGTGTTATTAGGCATTTGTCGTCGGATCACGACATTATAATCCCCCATAATAGCGGTTTTGTAGGAAATGACAGAAGAGGTTTTACTCATCCTGACAGAATAAGAAACAGCACCTTCACAGTGTCAGGACGGCTGCCCCCGTTGGCGTATTCAAACTGTTAGCAGGCTTAGTGGTCACATGGCCACAAAAGAGGCTCATCCGCGCTTTACTCTCCACTCCATCGCATCGACTCCTTCATATATAAGCGGAGGGTTGAAGGTATCCAAGTGACACACACACCATGGGAGAGCTTTGCCCGAAGACAAAGCCAAGAGTGCTTGAATAGGAAGGTCTTGAAATAAAGAGGGGAGGCTCACAAATACTCTCTCTCGTTAAAATCCTAAGATGAGGAACTGTCTCAAGCTTGCAGACGCAAAAAAAACATTTCCCTCCCAACTCTTAAAGTCCTAACTACACATCGTCTTCTGAAAGAAAGATGGAGGGTTTGACGAAAACCTCTGTACTTGAACTTTGTACGGCTGTGATGAAGTGCTTTACATTAGCGTACAGCATGAGATGATTAACAGGAAGTTTATTTGATTATCGTGAATCGCAGGATGATCTACGGGCCCCGAAAAAAGTACTTAAATAAATCAATCTGAGAAAGAAAAATGGCCAACATCTGTAGAGAGATATTCAACCTGTGAGAAGAGGTCCCAGCTTCTTTTTCAGGTTTTACAAATCAAAAAGGCCCGATTCAATGTGATATTTAGTGCAAACATTTGCAAAGCAATTGTACTACTAAGACATCTTATTAGCTGAGAGGCAGAGAAGCATGGTGTTCACGTCCTCTTTTGAATCTTATTTGTGAGCCATGACAGCTTTAATCCTTCTTAAGTAGGCCGCTGTTTATTCCTAATGCATTTCTGCTACTAGGATTTATTTGACTAATAACAGTTACCTGTAAATGTAGGTAGACTTTCAGCGTCTGAGTTGATCAGAGTCTGTTTTCACTGAGCGAGGAATAGACCCTCAGATATAAAGTACACACGCCTGTCGTATTTTGCTTTTTTCGATACAGGGAAACAAAGTTATGCTGCTATAAGAGGGTTAACATCTTGGCAGCGTTTCTCTCTGTGAGGAGGTCACATGTCTGGTTCGTGTTCCCGTGGTTTTTCCTCCCACAGTCCAAAACACATACAGGTCACATGAATCAGAGACTCTGTATTTCTAATCTCCTCACAGGTTGTTAAGGCTTTATGGTGTTTTTCCAACTCCGGCAGCTCCGTCAATGAATGAATGTTCCGACACGCTCACAGGCTTAAATGCTCCATCCACACATGGTTTCCTCCCAAAATCTACAATATCCTGACGGTGTTATGGCTGATTCTAAAACTCAAAAGTCATTGAGAACACATTGTGATCAGCTACATTTAGAATGCGTTAAAGCTGAAGTCTGAAAACACTCATCTGGGTCGTTGGAGGGCTCAAACAACCTTATTAATATAAGCAGTCTCCGTCTTTAGCTGAGGCCGATCACAGAGTGAGAATCTGCATCCGAACATTTTCCTATACCGCCCCTGATGAATCTCACTGACGTCTGCTGCTGCTCCCCCTCATTGTGCTGAATGGACAAGTCCCCAGAAACACTAGGCCTCTCACTGGCCGGCGAGGGGAGCGCGGCCGCAGGACAAAAGGCGAGGCCAGCGGTGAAGGCTCTGCTCCTGTCGCTTCATTAGGCAGCAATGGTGAGACCCAGCAGGTCGGGAAAACCTCTGCCTCCATTCAGTCCTCCTGGTGAGCAGCAGACAGGCAGACATTCACCGCCTCCATTCTCCAGAGGGGTTAATGGAGAGCGGGCGGAGCTTAACAAACCTGCTAAACTGTATTTTAGATTAAACTATTTTAAACTAGTTTATCCTTCTAATTGATAATCAAAGGCGTGCACTAGTCCGGTTTATGATCAAAAGTGATCTCTAAAACATTTCCTCGAGGGTTTTAAAATGTGAAAGATAGTTTCTTTGGTTTGACCACAACTGCTCTCCATCCCAGGTAGACATCACGTCATCCCCTTCTGTGTGTGTCTCATACTAGATATAATTGTAAAATGTTGTGCCGTAACAGCAAAGTTGGCGCCGGATGTCCGTATGTTCACACGGTGGTGAGAAAAGAGCTCCATTTGTCAGCTGTGTTTTCTACCTGTTGGCCTCATTGTGGGAGTTATTTGGCATCACTGAGGGAACTTCTGAGATTCATCTTGTTTGACATGGTGACAGAATGTATGAGAGGAAGTCCTCAAAGGTCCACAAGCAGCATTTCTGTGCCATTTGACACTCTGGGCCCGTGGTCATCATCATCAGATCATCATCTTGGAGCAGATTTGATGTACATAAATGGATTTTGATGTTGACACAAAGACCCTTCATGTGGCTCCCAGTTCAAAGTCGTCTCCCCCCCCCCCCTCTGCCTGTCTGCTCTGGGTGTCCAAT